ATGTACATCTGGAAATCTTTGCTCAAATTCTGTTTGTGAAATTTGTCCATGCTGAGCAGTTCATTTTCATTGTTTTATAGCAGTACATCATTAGAAAGAATACACAATTGATTCATTAATATCATTTTAAAGGGATGATATTTATACACAGATTGAAGTTATGTCATGTTTCTTGAAACCAGAAATGATTTGATGCTATATTTGTGGAGATTGGATATGTTACTAAAAATAAAGTAAAAAATGCTAAGGCATCATTAAATTAGCAGTGATGAACTAATGACCTTTAAAGATATTTTAAAATAACTTCTATACAAAAGAGTGCCCAATAAAAACTGCAACATACAAAAAGAAGTTTTTAAAGATTGGTGAATTATGGATTGACTATTTGAGTTGCAAAAATCACTTTTCACGGAGAAACATTTCTAACAACTTTTTTTTTTCCTGTATTGATTTTAGAGAGAGAGGAAGGGAGAGGGAGAGAGAGATAGAAACATCGATGAGAGAGAACACTGACTGGCCACCTCCTGCATGCCCCCCACTGGGAGTTTGACCCACAATCTGGGCATGTGCCCTGACAGGAAATCAAACTGGTGACCTCTTGGTGCATGGGTCAATGCCCAACCACTGAGCCTCATCACCCCAGCCATTTGGAACAACTTTAAATATCTGAGTTATAAAACCTAAAGTTGTAAGCAACTTTAAATCAAAATATAACACATTAAAAATTTTAAAATGATAATATCAAATATTGTCTACTATAGTCTGGAAAAATAAATTGCTTTGGTTCATTTTACAATATACCCAAATTGTATTAATTGCATGATAGAAAGCTTATTATACAAATCATTAAATACTGATAGAAAAATCTAATGCCAAAAGGAAAGTGAAAACCAAAGATGTTATTTGAGATTGTTTCACTTTTGTACTGTTGTTCAATTTCATAGTGAATATACAAGGTATACTTTTTAAAGGACACCCTTTTATAACTACGGAAAAAGAAGCTTAAGTAACTGAAATTTATGGAATGTCTTAAAAATAAAGACATTGTCTTGACAGAGCATAACAGTCATGGAATTTTAAATTCATAATTTTTTCCTATGAACACTGCCTTCTGCAAAATGGAAATACTATCTTTCAAATTCTTTTTACCTCAAAGATAAATCAAAAGATTTAGCTCTCTTTATTCTCACTGCTAAGATGATTCTACTAAATTTTCGTCTAACAAACTCTTTATAAAATCCTATTATAGTTAATCGAAAAATATGAGTAACAAGTCACCTCAGTTTCCGTGTCTGGAATACCAACTGCCAAGAGAATTACAACAGGGCCAAAAAGTGTGCACAGGCTTCTCAGAATTAAGTGATTCAGAAGGTCCTTCAGGATCTAACTGTATATGCTCAATGTGAACAGCAACAATTTCCTTTTAAAAAGGTAACTGATCTGAATACATATAAAACTTTGACTTCCTTTATTAAGATCATGGGTTTAATATAAACTAGTTCTCATTTACTTCCTTTATTTGTCTTAAGCTTTTTTTCACTAACACCAAAAATAACAGAAACTATTGTAATCATTTTTATATTAAAAAGATGAATATGTCAACTGTTATCAAGAATGAAAAAGTCTTTCTGGTAAAGGACTCACCTTACATGTTATTCTCTTTAATTAATGCTATAAAATCTGAAAAGGTAGAATGCCAATTTGTCAACATAGGATTCAGATAGAATTCATATAATCCAAGGGAAAAAGCATGGTATGGTATAAGATAAACAACATTATTTTAATTCCTTTAGAACAGAGGTTCTCAACCTGTGGGTCACAACCCCTTTGGGGGTCGAATGACCCTTTCACGGGGTTTGCCTAAGACATAATAGTAGCAAAATTAGTTATGAAGTAGCAACTAAAATAATTTTATAATTGGGAGTCACCACAACATTAGGAACTGTATTAAAGGGTCGCGGCGTTAGGAAGGTTGAGAAACACAGCTTTAGAAGAAGAGCCCTTTTAGCAAAATGATAGATTAACTGTATGCAATTACATACTTTTTTTTCTTTTTTCTTTTTTTTGGTACGTGTCCCTAGCGGGAACCAAACCCAGGCCTCTCTGGTCCGCAGGCTGAGGCTCCAACCTCTGAGACAAACCGGCCAGGGCTACATACTATTTCTAAAATGCAATAGATAACATAATTTCCAAAGTAGATTTGATATGGTGGACAATATTAAGCACATATTTAAAAGAATCTCAGCCCTGACCATTTTGGCTCAGCAGTTAGAGCACTGGCCTGCGGAACAAAAAGTAGGGTTTGATTCTGGTCAAGGGCAGCATGGTACCTCTGTTGTGATTTGGTCAGTGTTGGGTGGAAGGCAATCAATCAGACACATGATGTTTCTCTCTCTCTCCCTCCCTCCCTCCCACTCTATCTGAAGATGAAGGGAAGAATATTCTCAAGTGAAGTTTTTAAAAAATAATAAAAAGAAAAGAATCTCAGCATTTGTAACTGGGCAGAAGACATCTAAGCAACTGAGCTAATGCAAATCAGTTTTCACCAACCCTAACAATTTTTGTAACATTAGGGATTTCCCTTTCTCTTTTTTTTCCTCCCTCCCCTCCCCCCCCCCTTCTGTTTGTGTGTGTGGAATGAGAGGGATCATTAGGAATTGTAGCAACATAGATTGGTAAAAGGGTGCAGATGCAGGAGAAAAGTGCAAATGGATAGACTCCCCAACCCAGGACACAGCTCAGTGGGAAGGCTAACATGTTAAAAGTTTCAGTATTGTGTTAAAGATTTGCTTTGAAGAGCTCTCACTTCAAAGGTGGGATTGTTTTTGAAAGTGCCATTAAGGTATCTATAAAATGAAAACTGTTTCTAAAGTATTATGCCATCAGTATTAGGCTGCAAAACTGGCAGTCCTATGAATCAAAAGGAAATACAGGTATGCTGTGGTCAACTGAGGTCTTAATTTATTCAACTGGACAGAAATTGAAAGTGTTTGTAAACTGGGAATTTTAAATGGAAGAAATTATATGCACTCTCCAGTATTACCGTTTAAAAACTCCAGATACACTGTTTAAACTTTACGAAATTATTTTTAAAGTAATCCTAAATGAGTGTCATATACTAAGAGCTGATGCTATCTCTAGATTTACACGCACCTTCTTGCTTTACCACACCCTAATACCCCGTCCGTGGGACAGTGCCTTGAACACCACGCCCTACCCTCCAGCGAATTCGAGAAATCTTGGGAACACAGAACCACCGCAGCTTCTTCTCCCCATTCCCCAACCCCTTTCTCAGAGAAAACACTAAATTCGTGCTTTTAAACCTAAAAGCTGAAAACACTATCAAATATATCACAAAAGCCCTGGCTGGTTTGCTCAGCGGTTAGAGCGTCAGCCTGTGGTCCAGAGAGACCGGGGTTCGGTTCCCGCTAAGGGCACGTGCCTCGGTTGCAGTTTCCCCCTAGTCCTGGATGGGTCATGTGGGTGGCAGCCACTTGATGTGTCCCTTTCACGTTGATGTCCCTCTCTCTCTCTCTCTCTCTCTCTCTCTTCCTCTCTCTCCCTCTCACTCTATCTGAACAAAAAAGGGAAAAATGTCCTCGAGTGAGGATAAATAAATATGTATATGTATATGTATATGTATATGTATATGTATATGTATATGTATAACAAAAGAACACACTTTGAGAGCAGTTTCCTTTTGTAAAGAGTCATTTCATCAGCTCAGACATTTAGTCCGAACAGTGGCCTGGCAGGTCGACCAGCCCGTTTGTACAATTCTTTGTCCGTAAATATATCTTGGACCATAACTATCAATCCAATATTCATAACTCGTTAATTCAAAGAGAACACAAAGCTTGGACCCAGTCTCCCTGCTTGGAGGCCAAGGAAAGGCAACAATCCTCCAGCCAAAGTCAACCTCCTCCCAAGCCAGGCGGGGCCTCTCGCTGCCAGACCGCAGGCCCACACTTGGATGCGTGGAAGTCTCGGATCCCAGCTCTTTTCCATACGTCCCGAGTGCATCCCTGGTCTCCACTAAAACTTCGAGCGTAAGGGCGCCGTTGGAGTTCCCGGTTCTTTGCTTATTGTCTCCCAAATTCTAGAATCGTCCCTAACTTCCTCTCCAGGTGGATCTCGTCCTGGGTCGCAGATTTCCTGAGCACAGGAGACTCCAGGTTGGGCTCTGGGCTGGCGCATTCCTTGCTGGAGCTAAAGTAGGACCCAACCTCACGACAACCTCACCCCACTCACCCTGACTCTACTCCCTCAGCTCCATCCCAACTTCCCCCTCACGCCACCGACCCCAACCCTGCCCAAATCCAACCATCTCACCACCTCGCGCCTCAGGCACACTCCGCCCCCAACCCGGTGGCTCTTGGGGGTGGATTGTACGAGTGAGCTGCTGAATAACCTTTGGGGAGACAAAACCTGCAAACTGTTTTTGCAGAGGTAACTCCACGCCTAGACCAAAAGGCATCGCTCCAACCCCTCCAAGCACTAACATCTCCATTCCAGATAACCCTGGGGTAGGGGGTAGCCCCTGGAACCCCACGGCACGTCTTTATTTTGCTCACTCGGGAATCCTGAACTTCCTCACCGAACACTCCACTCCTCCATCCAAACGCGCCACAACCTCCCTGGCCAGCCGGGGGAGCCAGGGGAGGAATGCGAACCTCAGCCCCAGCCCAGCCGCCACGGCGTCTGCCGGAGCACAGCGGAGCGGCCGTGCGACCCTGTGATTCAGTCAATCCGACACACTTTCCCAGACAAAAAGTTAAGTCCCTGTCGTATTCCAAAGCTCGTCTTCTATCCTCACCGCCTTCCAACCCAAATCTGGGCTCGTCCCTAGGCCCCAGGATTGAGTTAAACAGCGGTCATCATTGTACAGTCTGCTTCGCCCCTTACCGCTCCCGCAGCGGGTAGTGGGGCGAAACCACCCTCTTCCCCACCCCGACTCCCGGAGGCTGCCTGCGTGGTGCCCCGCCCGGGCTCCCACTCACCACGAAGGTCAGCAGCCCCCTGCAGAGGGCTCCGCGGAGGGAGCTCTGGGGTCCGGCGGCTGCCATCCCAGCGCGGGTCGGGACGCGGAGCGACGGAGAAGCGAGACCCGGGGAGGTGCCGCAGCGCAGGAGGTATGTAGGTCGCCTTAGTCTCTCTCAGGCTTTCCTGCCTGGGAGCGTCTTCGCTCCTGGGACGGGATTGGACCCAGGAGACGCCGAGCCGCCCCTCCTCGTTATTTCTAAAGTTTTATCACTGCGGGAGCCGCTGGGGAGGTGCCTGAGCCTGCCCCTCCGCTTCCCGGCGGCCGCGCCAAGCTTGCTCTCGGGAAAGCGGTCCCACGAGCGGGTCCCTGCGCGCTCTCCCACGCCCCTCGACTGCCCGCGGCGCTGCGGCCCCGCCTTCCCTCGGCGCGGTCCTAGCCGCCCAAGCCGTCTGGGCGTCCTCCCTGCCGACGCTGCTGCTCCCGTTCCCTGCGCAGAACCCAAATCCGCCTGCAGGGATCCCTGCCCCGACAAGGGCGGTTCTGGATGCCAGGAACACTGATCCTCCCTTAACTCCTGATGAAGTTCTCAGCAATGTCTCCTGGTTAATACAGAATGTAAAAAAATTTTTTCTTTATTGATTTTAGAGAGAGGGGAAGGGAGAGGAAGAGAGAGATGGAAAGATCAATAAGAGAGAACCTCGATTGGCCGCCTCCTGAATGCCCCGCACGGAGGATCAGGCCCACCAGCATGTATATATTCTTTCCAAATTTGATTAACATGATAAAGGAAGGAAAAGTATCCCTAGTGGCATGAAGAAGTCATTTGCTATACCAGAAACTAAAACCAAGTAAAAGAAACTCTGCTACAAAAGAAACTCTGCTATTTGATCATTTTTACTCACCCGAAACATGAGTGATTACACTCAGAGTTTTGTTTATTGACAATTTAGTGGCCTAACATTCTAAGAAATAACGTATTTTGCTTATATGTAAATTATTGATTTAATTACATGGTGATTGTACTAAGATGCAATGTTTCAGTTTATGGCAAAAGGAAAATCTACCACACAGAACCCTTTACTCTAAAGGAGACTTACATATAGTCATTTGTCAACAACAACAACAAAAATGTTTTAACCTGCAATAAAAAACATTTCTTTGAGCAAAAGGATTGCAACCTGAGAGAAGCAGATTCAAGTAACAACTCAAAACACTGCTCTGGAAAGAACAAAGAAAGGCAGGGTTTATAAAGCAAAAACCACAGATATAATTCTTTCATGCAGATAAAGGATAGCTGGCTAGGTTAACAGGGATTGATTAATTTCAATATGCAAAGCAAGAGGAGTGAAAACTGCAAGGAGGAGGTCAAGTCCATGTGTGACCATGGTAGTTTCAGAATGTTTGTGGCTCAGCCTGGAGCCAAGTTTAGCAACAGGTTTAGCAACTTAATGGCAGTTGAGAACTGAGGTACAAGATGTACACTGGCCCCATTTTGTTAATAGCCTCCTGATTTTCTTTTTTTTTTATCCTCACCCGAGGACATCCCTTCCATTGTTTTTGTTCAGATAGCATGGGAGGGAGAGAGAGAGAGAGAAACATCGACGTGAAAGGGACACATAGAGTGGTCGCCACCTGCACGACCCAACCAGGGCCAGGGACAAACTGCAACCAAGGCATGGACTGAACCCAGGTCTCTCTGAACCGCAGGCCAACGCTCTAACCGCTGAGCCAAAGCACCAGGGCCCTCCTGATTTTCTTAGCAACACTTATTCCATTTTACTTCCTTTCCATTATCACATTCAACAAACATGTGTCAGAACCCAAAGTTGCCCAAGCATTAAATAAGGGGCTGGAGGAAAGGAAATTTGCAAAACCCAGTTCTTGCCCCAAACAATTCCAAGTCTAAGAGGGAATAAAGACCATCATCATGGCTCAGTATGCTAAACTTTTTATTAGAGAGGTCATACACTAGGGTCATAGTCCTTTATGTCTCTCTAGATTGAATTGTGTGTCCTCTAAGCCCCACCTGTTAGGTTCAGAAGGAACCCTTTCCTAGATGCGTTGCTGCTCTTCTAAATCCATGTGCAAATTCCAAGGTCAGAACCTTCAGCTAGTCCAGATTAATCAGCGAAGGTGCGATGACCTTCATTCATCTCAACCTAGTCACCTGAATAGGCTCATTGTTTAAAGCTTCCCTGAAACTCACAGGCCTCAGCTCTCAATACTCAGACATTAAGTTCAGCTTTTCTGTCTCATCTCTGAAATATTCAAGGCATGCATCAAGAGATTCTGTTTCACTTCAGGAGGCTTCTGTATAGAAGAGCTCTTCCATTTTCAAACAAAGCTTTTTTAATTTCTCTCCATTACAACCATTTCACCTCCCATTATCCAAACCCTCACCTTCACCATAACCTCAGAGAAAGCCTCTCCAAGTTTCCTCTGGCCCTTTAGAAACACAAGTGGATTATGGCTTTCCTGTAATATAGGTGATACTATGAATATATTCTGTCCCCTCAAATTCATAAGTTGAAGCCTTAACCCCAATATAAGTGTATTTGAAGATAGGGCCTATAAGGAAGAAATTAAGGATAAATGAGGTTATAATGGTAGGGTCCTGATCTGATAGTAGTTCTTATGAGAAGAGAAACCAGAGAAAAGAAAACCAACCTTCTCTGTCTATCTCTCAATCTCCTTCCCTCTCTTCTACCCATTCCCCTCTCATGTACGGATACAAAGAGAGGGCAGCTGTCTACAAGCCAGGAAGAGAGCCCTCATGGAAAACCTAATCAGCCAATAACTTGCTTTTGGACCCTCAGCCTTTTGAACAATGAGAAATAATGATTGAGTAAGACCCAACAGAGAAAAAGGGCAAGGTAGAAGTGTATTCCAGGCAAAGGCAATATCAACGGTACCAGCAAAGCTCTGGAGAATCTTGTGAGAACTTTCCATGCCAAGGAAACAGAAAGGAGTTTTTTCAGAACCAGTGGACAGAAGAACACCTGTGACTAGGAATTAGGTTAGAATGATAGGCTCATGACAAACCAGGCTGACTAAAATTTCATCTTGGAAGAGATAAAGAATCATCCTTTAAAAGGGTTACTAACTGAAACCAGCCCAAATGAAACTCAGGTTCTTTGGCCTGCCACCATGAAGCCAATCACAGGACACAGGTGGTGATGGAAGGAAAGTGATTTATTCAGGTGCTGACTACCTGAGAAGATGGCAGGCTCATGCCTTAGCAACATCTTAATATCTCAGGGTAGGCAAAGGGCTTTTTATAGGGGGGTCCTAGAAAGAGAGGAACTATGGAATTCTGGTGACATGCAGTTTCACATTCCAACGTCTTGGGTGGTTTCAATGCTCTCTTTCCTTTGTGTCATCATCTGGCTTTTCTTTTTTTTCTCAGCAAGTTTTATTTCTGGGGACAGGATGTTGCAGACCTGGCCAGCCATCACATCTGCTACATTGCTGTGGTCAAGGCCAGCAAAGAGGCTAACTGGAACTGCTGCTGCTATAACAGACTTACATATAAAACTATGAATATTTTAGTCTATAAATTTTGTTAATATATTCTTATTTTAAATTCTTGATTAGTTAATTAAATGTGAGGCATTTTTAATACTCTGTACCCTGGTATATAACTACAGTTAGAGAATTTTGGGTGAGTTAATGAAATCAGTTTTGTTAATGAACCTGTTTTTACTTTGATACTACTTTCCCTTACTATGTAGGAATAAAATACTGTGAAATGTTTATCTTTGTTCTGAGCAGTCCTAATTTTCAGTAATTTTAACTTTATCTACTAGAGTGAATCTGACCTGATTATTAATGTCTTCTGAGTGACTAAAATTCTAAGATAGCTATCATCTGCTTGTTTCATCTGTGCTGTGTAATTGAAAAGATTATTAAGCCTGTTAACTATATGTTAAGTGTATCGACTACACCCTGAGCTTTCATTTTTAGCTTCTACAAAATAAAAAGTTATCAAAATATATTCCAGAAAGCCTGACTGGTGTGGCTCGTGGATTGAGCGTAGTCCTATGTACTGAGAGGTCCCACCCAGTTCCATTCCTGGGCAGGGCTCATGCCCGGGTTGTGGGTTTGATATATTCCAGAAATACTGTAATAAAGCATATTGGAGATATTTTTATTTGTATTACAAAATTCTAGATTCAGGATAAACACTGAATAATAACTGGATATAGTATTAGCAATTATCTTGAAATGTCTGTGTTACAGCATGTATTTGTCCATGCAAATATTAGTCTCAGTCTTAATAAAATGCAATACATTTTTATAATTTAGAGAAGAATCTTTATAGGCGGTTAAAATATGACTTGGCAATAAACTTAAATTGCTTTTATTTTTCCTGTGTAAATTATAATGTAAAATGAGTTTGTTGCAAATTTATTTTAAATATGTGCTTCAATTTGAATATATTTAAAATTGGAATTAACTTTAAATCATTATGAAACATCATAAAGCAGAAAAGTTTTCCTGAAATGTCTTTGTTTTAATACCCTAACCCCAAAAATGCAGTCATTTGAAGTCACTACTAAAAAGATTATGTTGCCCTGGCTGGTTTGGCTCAGCGGTTGGAGTGTTGGCCTGCGGACCAGAGAGTCCCGGGTTCGGTTCCCGCTAGGGACATGTACCACCCCTCAAAAAATAGATTATGTTAAAAAAATAATAATAACAAACAACTTAGGTTCCCTGTTATTTTCTTAGTTTGAAGGGTAAAAGCAGTAATAATAAAGTATCAAAAATGGGAAGTGATTTTAAGCAATAGTATAAAACTTCAGGAATCCAGGTGACTTGTAAAATTTTCAGTAGAAAACCAACTTCAGATGATTAAGAAGTTGTACCTAGGAGGAAGCTCTGGCCTGGGAAAGGATAATGACCTTAGGAGGTGAGAGTTGACTTCTGGCCCACAGAGCCCAGTTGCCTTGCGCGACGCAATGCCAACAGCTGCTGGTCTCAGCCCATTGCTCACCTCAGTGGCTCACATGCACAGTGATACGGCAAGTGTGAGTCTTCTCAGTCACACCTAAGAAATACAACCTGAGCAACTACGTGATGTTTGGAACAATTTGCGAGTAATAGAAATAAAATTTTGCTCTGGCCAGTAGCTCAGTGGTTAGA